CCTCCCTCCCTCCCTCCCTCCCTTCCTTCCTTCCTTCCTTCCTTCCTTCAATAAATATGAAAAACACTAAGATAGCAGTGACTAAAAAGGGAAGGTGAAATACAAACTCAAGTGACCGAGACCTTGACAGAGGTGAACTGGGAATCATAACTGCTTATTTGATTAGTACATATTACAGACTTCCCACAGAACTGAGAATTTATTCCTTGGAAACCTAAGATGTTACGTAATCACCCGATATCCTATTTGATAGGACATGGTGAATAGGTTTAATAACTCGTAGAAGGTAAACATAAGAAAACTTCAGTGAATGAGCTGACTTTAATGGTTTGGTATATCAATAGTAAATCCTATAGGATAATTCATGCCAGGAGAGTAATAAATACAATGCCTACTTCTTTTAGAATACCAACACAGGCAGCCCTAATAATCATTTAACCTGGAATGCAGGAACAAGAGCCCCAAATTATAGCTAGATGCGAGGGTGATTGTCTATAGTATCATAACCAGAATAGTGTTAAATGAGGTGTGTATATGAACAAAAACGCTACAGTTCAGTGTTTTTCCTATAATCTGCATGACTGAATAGAGAAGACCTTTGGACAGATGTCAAATTTCGGTACAGAAAGGGTAAATCAGGGTAAAGTTTTAGTAACTATTGTTGTAATTTTCTTGGCGTTATCTTAAATTTGGCCTTCAGATCTATCTCCTCTTTTATTCATTGACTTACATAGCACAAATTCATTAAGGTCTCACTATGTTCTAGGTAGTGGGAATATATCAGTGCGCAGGAGAGTCTAAGGCTCTACACTCAGGGATCCTTTTAGTGGAAGAGACAGGTAACTAACGCATAATGAACTGCAAGGGACCTATTTACTTCAGGTAATAGACGGTCTCTCCCAGGGACCATTACATGTGAGCATAGACCTGAAGGAAAAAAGAGTGCTCCTCACCACGTGAATATCCAGGAGGAGATTATTCGAGGCAGAGGGAACATCCAGAGCAAAGACTCTGAGTAAAGACTGAGTTTAGGGTGTTCAATGCGAAGTAAAAATGCAGGTGCGTATGCAATGAAATGAAAAGTGATAGGTAGAAGCAATAATTTTTAGAGGTTTTTTTAATGTCACTTTAGTTTACCAGAGTAGCAGAGGCAAACACAATGTGCTCTTCAATTTTCTTTCCTTCACTTCCCACTAATTATTTTCCCTAATGCTTGGGATAATGCATTTCTATAAGGAAGGTCTGGAGTAAATATGAATTGAATGATTAAGTAACTGACTTAGATAAACCAAGTTCATACCATGTACCCCAGATTAGAAAACAAAAGGGTCCTCAGTGGAGACTTTATTAGCAGTAACTTTATGAAATCATTGATTAGTGTTATTATTTGTAAAATAAGAGGGTTGAATTAGGTGATTGTTGAGGTCCTTTCGCTGTGAAGTTCTGTGACTTCAAATGCATTATCTACTTCCCATTTGTGAGTAGAACTTTGCCATGGTTGTCTCTAGTCGTGAATCAGTCAGTTTTAGATAAACGTACATAACTTGAATACAATTCATAAATTCATAAAATAAAGGTTTAGAAAATAATATCTTAAAAAGAGGTAAAATAGATCAAGAGTCCCATGTCTAGTGAAGAGAGTTATCAGGAGTTTTACATTAATTGCCAAAGCCATACAAGTTTGGATAATGCAGTCTTTGGATTCTGTTTGTTTTGGGTTCAAATTTGGGCCTTATTACTGTCTGATTGCAATGTGATTTGGAATTAATTACTTAAAATCTCTCTGGGCTCAACTTCATGCACATAATATGTGTTTATTGATATCCATTTCCTAGGGTTATAATAAAGATCTTAAAATAATGTGTATGAAGAATTTGGCATAGGGTTTGATGCCAGGTGCTAAATGAAGGTCAGATACATTTTCTTGCTTCTACTTGTTTTGCACATAGAACACCAACCTTGGGTCTTTATGTGGGAAAACATTGTGTTTTGGAAGTTTGTATTTCTAGCAAAAACACAGTGTCTTGGGCATAGTAGGTCCTCAAGGCTATTGATAGTGTTGACGGCCATGGTGATAATACTTTATGCGGGAGCTGCCCACCAGCTGCATTAAATTAAAGGGCCCGATTTACGGCATGAGATTTTTACAGCGCTACAGTGCTACAAAGGAATTTAAAACTGAATTATGTTTGATTGCAGAATATATTGACACAGTAAATCTTTAGACAAGAACAGAGTGTCAGCTAACAATGGAATAATGCTCATACTTCGTGTATCTTGATGGTGTGAGGAAAGTCCTTTTTAGGTGTTTCGCAGCTGTTAGGTAAACAGTGGACAAGAAGTATTTGTACTTTGTTTGGGACAAGATAACATTCTAGCAGGGATTGATTAGGGCTTCTCAGTTAAGAAAACCTAATGAATCTCATTGTCCCTTTACCCCACCCAAATAGAAACATCGGCTCCAAAAATGACTGTGCATTGAGGTCAGTGCCCAGCACTATCTCAGAAAGTGGTGTGTGTGCAAGTGAAAGGGGAGTCGTTAAGTTGAGCCACAGCAAAATATATCACTGGCTTAAAAACATGCCGAATAGTAAACTTATTCACATTTTTTTCTTATTGTAGTGGCAACGCAGTTGTTGCTTGATTGATCTAGTGGTGTGTGCTTGGAGCAACTCATCCTGGTCGGAAAGACCTCTCAAAATGAGTATTAACCTAAAACAGCCAAAGGGAGAGGGGGGAAGGCCCATGTTCTAAGCCGGTTGACGCTGGGAAGCAGATAGCTGGGCTCTATGTCCAGGAGGCGCTGCCGGGACAGTCGCTGCTGGGGCACTTAGAGCAGGCACAGGGAAGGAAAGCGAGGCCCCATGCACCTAATTGTCCTGCCTCCCGGGTGTGGGCATCCACTGTCACCCCTTGAACCTCTCATTTTAGTCTCAAGTCTCATTTTGAGCAACTCTAGAACAAAGTAACTAGAGGGCAACCTCTGGACATAATGGTAACACCTAATTCCCGCGTGGCAGAAAATGTTGGGACACATATCCTTTCACCTTTGACCCAACAATTTATTTTCACCAGAAGCAGAACTAGAGGATGGAATTAAATTACAGTGTGGACCCTTTAGGTTAAAAATGCAGTAACATTTTTTCCCCACTGAGATTAATGAAAAGGTAAATGTTATCTTTTAACATTGATGCTTTAAGTCAATATTTATTCTAAAACTATATTTTCTGGATATTTTTATGGTAACTTAAGATAGTGGCTCTATAATATTTTATTGTCCCATTTTCCATTTTAATATATTTTTTTTCCCAAGTTATATTATTTGCCCTTAGATTATTTTCAGAGACATTTAGAGTTAATATAACAAGTATCCCAGCTGTTAAGAATTGAAAGAACCACTTGATGGTCCATGGTCAGCTCTTCTATATCTCTAAGGTATATTTCTGCTATAAATCACACAGTAAGATTACTAGGTATGCTTTGGGTGGGTTGCAGTGGGCAATGCACCAGTTTTGTCATTCTGTTGTTGTTGTTTAGGAATATGTGTGTGTGTGTAACTTTTTTAATCCCAAATGCAAACTGAACCAGAGTATAGATCTTTTGGATGTGTCAGATTGTCAGTGTTAACATCATTCAACTGTCAAGTAACACTGATCCCGCAGTCGCCATGGAGTGTTAACGTTGTACAGTTCTGAATTGCCTCCACTAACCTGAAAAGTAATATTGCATGGAATTAGCCCTTGCACAGTTTCTCATATGCTGTTTCATCCAACAAATGTGGCTGTGATTAAGTTCTTTTGAGCAAAGAGTCATGTAATGAAAAAATTTACATACATATGAAATGAGTACTCTGATTCCCAGGCATGAAAAAAAAGCATATCATCTGTTTCTTTGTATCAAGACCTTTTTTTTTTTCCCCCCTTCTTAACAATCAAGATACCAAATAGTGGTTTTGAAGTTTAGACTTGTCCATAAATATATTTTCTATCCAATATCATTTCATTTACTTGTAAAAAGCTACATTGTTTTTGAAAGAGCTGCACAGATCTCTGCAAAGTCTGTATTAATCTCAGGAGACATACCAACTGGGAAAATACTAAGTTGCTTCTAATTTTATTTTTCCCTGGGACATTTTAAAGCTTTGTTCAGACTTTACGAAGTGCATTATTTTTAAAAATAGAGTTCCACTCCAATGACAATGTGTTCACTAATCACAATACAATACTTCATAAATAGGACACAATTTGGGGTAAGGAATTTGTTCATTACTCACATTTGTACATGCATATCCAAAATGCTTAAGCATCTATAAAATAAAATTGAGTCCATGTACATATAAATGAAAAGAAATAAGAGGAAAGCAGCCAGAGAAATGACATAGACTCCTTGTACTTTTGCTATTTTAATGGTGGATTTTAATAAGGAACTCTATCTCTGGCACACACCTGTGGGTTGGGTTCAGCAGTTTTTATAATGGGATTCCGGCCTTCCTGGGAGATGAAAGTTATGAGTAGAATGGTTTGGTGCCAAAGATTGGATCTGTGAGAGCAAAGCGGTAGATTGGTGGTGGCAAAGCTGCGCTGTATGATGTAAGGAGCCTCCATAAACTCCTCGTATGGGTTTTAAATTTGACACATTGACAGCTTCCATTGTGGGTGTGACAGAAATATGCCATAATGGCCATCATTTAAGGCAAGTTGAATTTTCTTCTCACAGCTTATAGAATTTTCTTTCTTGTCATTAGCAGCTATTTTTCATATGTCAAAGGAAGACCATTCTTAAATAAAACATATTTGCTCCAGTGCCAGTAAGTTTGATTTTAAGTGCTATTTTCTGATGGATTGTGATAAAACAAATTCATTCAATGATACGTTTGCCAGGACTGTTTGAAGACGTGAAGAACGAAGAACATTTCCATCCTGTGCCTTTGGAAGACTGTTATTTGCTAGATTTCCCCAAGGATTTTGAGGCCCACGGAGATTCTTAGGGGGAGAGACTTGAATGTGAGACATGAATAGCTGTCTGTCCACAGAATGAATGGGGTGAACGATGACAGCTCCGGGCAGACAGGGGAGAGAGTGGGAAAGTTTGCAGCGCTAGCGCCACAGCCGTCAGGGAAGCTAGAGAAAGGAAATGTTCGAATACCACAGCGATATCCTAATTATGTTAGTCGAATTACATATGTGGTGGTTGACTCGCGTTATACAAACTTTCCCTGAAGTTAAACAAACAAGCAAACACACTGCCTTGGAAACATATGAAGTGAGAACACGGATATGTCAGGCTTCTGGATGTTTTTATTTCAGAGTACCTCTTAGGATATCCTTTATTCAATGGAAACATCTAGCAAGGTTGTGTGTGTGTGTGTGTGTGTGAGAACCAGCATAAAAATACTATCTTACTACACATGCATGACTGATGTGCTGAGAAACCTTGTCTTAATCTGTGGATAGAAATAATTTATAGGCCACTTTACAGAGGGATAGAAATGTGAAGCCAGGAGATATTTGGAATTTTCATTCAAGTACCTCATATTTTAGTGGAAGAAACTGAGCCACAGGAGGTCAACAGATCCATTTGGGGGTCATAAAATGAGATAGTGTAAGCTAGTAAGTTAACTGGGTGCTAGTTCTCTGGCTGAGCTCTCTAGACTCCCAGCCCAGTGCTCGCTCAGTTACACCACACCATGGCCGCAGGCTGTCCCTGGAGGTCCGGATCTTCCTAAACAGAGATCTGACTCTATCAGCATCTAGACTCAAAGCCTTCAAAGCTCACTGAGACCTTCTCAGGACAGCACCCACATTCAGTACGTGGTTGGCAAGGCCATACCCACCTGTGTCCTTCTTGGACCCTCGTCTAAATTTTTGCCCCCCTTTCCCATTGGTCTCTTTTTGTTTCTTCAAATGCTACTTTGTGTGTATAGATGTGTGTGTGTGTGTGAGAGAGATTTTTGGCCTTTTATCACATACTTTTTCATTTTCCTAAAGTACCCTGCACTACTTCTCCCCAAGGCCGGCTTTCCTCTCCCTTTCAGTTCTGCTCTCACTTCCCCAGGCGGCCTCTGTGCCCTCGCTCTGTGCTTCCCTCGTGAGAGCACCTACCATATCACGTTGCACATGTGATTTACTGATCTGTCCCCCATCAGACTGTGACATCTGCTGGATTGTCCGTGACTTTCTTATGTTTGGTACATAGTAGGCCAGCTCTATTTATATTTATAATATATTTATATTATGAGATTGAGTGGAGAAGTTGAATTGAAGCAGAGTTAGGGAGGGTCACCCCTCTTTCTAATTTACTTCAAGTGCTAGTCTTCGACACTCTTTCCCTGTCCCAAACACGTTCTCACGCCTGTCACTCCTACTTGAACCTCTTGATTTCCACAGAATCGTCACCAAAATCTAATGTTCAGGTTACAGTGGCAATTGTGCCCTCTTGTGGCACAGCTATGAAGACTGCCGGCCATCAGGCAGGCTACCTGCCTTCCCCGCTCAGTCTCCTAGTGCCAGCTGTGAAGTCTTGGGCTTCTCCCCTGCCTCGATATGCCCAGGGATGACATGGGGATAACAATAACAACAAAATAACAACAACTACCTCACAGAGCTGAACAAGGACCCATTACAATCATCCACAAAAAGCCCCGGGTCTAGTGTTGGGCATTAGGTCACTCTCATTAAATGTTAATCACGATTCTCAGCCCAGAGACTCCCAGACTGCTATAAAACAACAACAAAAACAAGCTTAGAATACCCCTCCTGAAGGAAAATCAGTGTTGCTGAGCACAAACAAACCCAAGCTCACTTCCATTCATTTCTTTCAGCATTAAAATGTTTCGTTTGAATGAAAATTATATTTGCATCGAAAAGAAGTTAGTAAACATCACCCGCTCCAACCTACCTGAACCCCATCTGCGGCATAAGCTCTGTACGGTGAGGCAGGGACCCATGGCCTTTGCTCAGACTGGACGGCGGCAAGGCCCTCAGGAGGCGACGAATCCCCACTTGCAGACCTCAGTGTGGACGGTGCCTGCGTAAGGCAGCCAACTGGGCGCGGGGGGTGCCCTGGGCACCATGAACCCTGGGCTTGCGTGCGGATCAGCCTGCTGCAGAATACCGGACATGCGGAGGCAAGCCTATCCCAGAACTGAATCTTATGTAAATAATATATTTTCCTTTCTTCTCAGACAGCTCAGCTCTCGCAAGTCAGAGGAGTAGCTTCCCGACTTCCTTCTGGACCAGCTCCTACCAGCCCCCGCCCGCACCCTGTCTAGGGGGAGTGCACCCCGACTTCCAGGTCGCTGCACCCCCTGGCACCTTTCCCGCGGCTGACCCCAGTCCCTGGCCAGGACACAGCCTACACCAGACTGGCCCGGCCCCGCCCCCCGCCGCGTCCGAGTCCTGGCACTACCCGTTGGCATCTCAGGTGAGCCCGTCCTACAGCCACATGCATGACATGTACCTGCGGCACCACCACCCGCACGCCCACGTGCATCACCGGCACCACCACCACCACCACCACCCTTCCTCTGGCCCGGCCCTCGACTCGTCCTACGGGCCCCTGCTGATGCCGTCGGTGCGCGCAGCCAGGATTCCTGCTCCCCAGTGTGACATCGCGAAGACAGACCCGACGACAGTCACCACTGCTACCTCAGCGTGGGCCGGAGCCTTCCACGGAACTGTGGACATAGTGCCGAGCGTGGGCTTTGACGCAGGTGAGCTGGGCGACTGCCTCCTCTCCACAAAGAGAAGAGAAGTTAAGAAATAAATATTTAAAAGCGAGGGATGTTCTTAGTACTTCGAAATAGCTTTTCACGTATATGTAAAGCTTTGCCAATATGTTTATAGAGCCTAACTATTTTGCAATAATTCCTGCATCCCTGCAGAAACTGGTGTGACTAGTCCGTGGAGTACAGTCTGAGAAGGGTCTCTGAAATTTTCTCCCATTTCTTAAGCTAGTAACGGGTTCCTTTGGACTGGAATCCCTGGTACCTTATGTTTGTAAAGTGCTGAGCATATTCTCTAGATCTCCTGTCTCTGTACTATATGTAATGCCTAATAGAAATCATATAGTGTGTTTCAGTAATTTTTCTCTCTCTCCTTTTTGTTAGGTGTTATGTGTGATTTATAAAACAAACCGCTTTCTGGAATGTAGCCCGTGATCTACTCTTTGAAAAAGATTAGGGAATGTATTTAAGAAAAACTGGATTTTCCTTCCCTTCCCTTGCCCTCTATTTTTCCCTCCATTTCTCTTTTCTGTCTCCCCCTCCTCTTTCCTCTCTTTCTCTCTCTGTTTTAAAAAACTCCAGGCTTAATAAAACTATTATAAAGTTTATATTCAACAGATTTATAAAAGATGGTAAGGGAAATATTTATTCACAGAGCATTCAGCTCTTCTCTGGAATTCACTGGTTGTGAAGGTCATGGTGTTAAATGGTGTGAGCTTGGTATTTGGACCAGACTAGTCACATTAATAGTACTAATAGTTCTGAGTTCCCGAAACCACAGGCATCAGAAGCTAAAAAAGACCAATTAAGTCAGTGATTACATCCCCAGAGTCTACATTAAAGTCACCCACCTTCACCTCCAGTCCCAGGTTCTTTCCCTGGAACACTCTGTGACATACTAGAATGCTCTTCTCCAGAAGTGTAAAGAAAGTCACTCTTTCCTCAGTTTCCCATAGTGTGCAGGATCTTTAATCTGAGTGCTGATTCATAGAAGAGGACTCCCAGAGGAGTGAATGCCAGCGTCAAGTGGCATTCGCTGTGACATGAGTAGACCAGCCTTGTCTTGGCTACCGGCTCTACACTGAGCTTTCTAATGTTGGTCCTTGCCTGGCCTCACCCATTTCAGCTTCCCATTGAGTCTCTGGGTTCAAACTGCTTTTCTAAACAAACTGCCAGGGAACTTGGTTCTCCCTCTCTAGGAGAGAGGAATGTGAGGGGGGGCTAACCACCCCCGGCCTCCCTTCTTTCTTAGCCACATACTGGCAGATGAAGGCAACTCTTGAGTTGTTGGATGCCGGGGCCAGATCTGAGTAGAGTTCCAGCTTGGTAGCTGCCATCATGGGTAGCTCATTTTTGAAGGCTCTGTCCTATCTCCCTTCCATGGTACCCATGTGGCCAGAGTTAACAGTGACCTTAGTAGGCAAAGGGGATATTCTCTCCTTTCTTGGTCACTTTGGGCTGCTAGAACAGAACACCATACACTGGGTGGCTTAAACAACAAACATTCAGTTTTCACAGTTCTGGAAGCTGGGAAGTCCACGGTCAAGGTTCTGGCACTTTCCGTGTCTGGTGAGCGCCCACTTTCTGGTTCATAGACACTGTCTTCTCAATGTGTCCCCACATGACATAAGGGACAAGCGAGCTCTCTAAGATCTTCTTTATAAGGACACTAATTCCACTCATGAGGGTTCTGCTCTATGACCAAATCACCTACCAAAGTGCCCACCTCCTAATACTATCACATTGGGCCTTAGGATTTAACCTGTACATTTTAAGGGGACAAAAACATTCAGCCCAAAGCATCCCCTCTGTGCATTCGATAACATGAAGATGGAAAATGGATGTGATGGCTTGTTGCGCTCTGTTTCTAAATGTTACCTGTTACCGACTTTTGTAGTTGTCAACTTTGTTGTGAGCTGGATTCACTAATTTATTGTTCAGCATTTGAGCTTTAAATAGTTTCTTTGGCATAGAAAATCCCCCTCCTACGTTCTGGAAGTGGGAGGGAGAGCAGTTTTGTTCTCTCTGAGCCATGAATTAACATTTTTGAGTACCCATTATATAAGGTATTGCCAGAGGCACTTTATATATATTATTGCTCTTAATTCTTAAACTAATTCTGAATGGGTCACCTTTAAAATTCATTTACAAATAAGGAAACAGGCTCAGTTTTTCTACTTGAAAATTGCTTGCCTAAATTTCAAATACACAAGTTCGATTTGAACTAAGACCTGTCGCTATCTAAGGAATTGCTGGGGCAGCCTCTCTCTGTATATGTATGTAAATTAGACTATTAATGTAGACTATTCATGGTTAATAATGAGGAGTGAAGATTTACCTATTGGACGTACACGATGCTATTCTTTGTGAGTGTAGGTTTAGGATAAAGATCATAATCCATCCCTGTCCCATCATTTTGACACAAATGAGAAAACAAAGACAATGGAATTAATGAAATAAAGATCAAATTATTAGCATAGTCATTGATCAGGTTAAATTGCAGATCCTAGATTAAGTTTACTGCTACAGCTGGATGTTATAGTATCTTGGGCTAAATTTAGATTCTGGGAGATCGAACTCTAGGGAGAACCTTAGAGCTCAGAGGCATTTCCCCATAGTCATCTTACGTGTCACACAATTTGGAGCACCATTACTGTGAAAGAAATCTGAGAAACGTAATCCGAAGGATGACCCTGGTGTGCTTACCCTACAATGGGCAGTAGCAGGTGGAGGTGCACACCGCTGCGTGGGGGCTGGCCCAGAGAGAGAGAGGAGGGGCTGAGCCGTGTGAGCTCATTGTCATCCCCTAAATGCAGATATCATATCAAATATCACATCTCTCTTCCTTTGGGAAGAGCTAGAGAGGAGTGTCTTAGGGCAGTTTTCTGAAGAAACAGGCTCTAAGATGCAGATTTGATTGTAGACAATTCATGGGGTGATGTTCTCAGGACAACAGCTTTGGTGTGTGAGAAGAATTGTGTAGGAGGAGCCTCACTATGGTTAAGTTTAACTGAGCTTTAGCTGATTCTACAGGGAGCTCTGGAGTGTAGATGGCTTTTTATAATGGTCCTGCCTTAAATGGAGGTGGATGGGCTTTTTCATTCCTGCATTGACTGGTTATTGGATGGGTTTGCCTATGGAAAGGGGACATGACATTAGGCAAGATGGTTTTATGCGGCTGGAGGCAATTCCCGAAGAGAGAAACAGCTGAAAGTCATGGGCTGCCAACACCAGGGGAGTGAGTGTCTCAGCACAGAGTGGGGAGGGATCAGTGGCTCAGTGGCGCATTACAATATCCACTACAAGTGGATAAAAAAAGGGTAGTAGCTCTTCTTCCACTTTTCTAATTACTTAGTAAAGAACAGAAGTGTCTGTGTAACAGGCCCAAGCTAGGGAGGTAGGGTGGTTGAGAAGAATGAGAGATGGGCTCTTCTGTCCAATCTGTGCAACCTTGACCCCACCGTGCAGCCCAAAGAGGTGGCTCAGCTCAGGACTCAGCAGCAGGGTTGTGTAGCTACTGAGCAGCTGAGGGAAGAGCCTGCATTCAGGTGGGACAGATGATAAACTTCTCAACATCCAGGTACATTCCATTAGGCGATAAATTGTTGCAACCGTTTTGAAAGCAGTTTGGTAAAGGATGTGACATTTTCATCAGTAGGGGAAGAAGGGTTTAGCGATAGTAGGTGCATTTTTATTTTGCAGCCATCTGTAAGAAATCTAGAAGGTTGGACATAATATAAAACTTAATGACCGAAGAAAATTTTACTAGAGTATTATGTATGATAAAATCCAAGGGTCAGCAAAACTTTTCTGTAATGGGCCTGATAGAATTATTTGCTTTGCAGGGTCATGCTGTCTGTCACCACTACTCAGCTTTGCTTCAGTAGTGCCGAAGCAGCCGCAGGGAAGACTTAAATAAATGACGATGGCTGTGTCCCAATAAAAAGTTATTGGTGGACACTGAGATTTGAGTTTTATATACTTATCATGTCATCAAATGCTACTATTTTTTATTTCCTTCTTTCTCAATCACATAATAATATAAAATCCATCTTTCCATACTTAGCTCATGGGCTGTGTATATGTACAGACAGTGGGCCTGATTTGGCTGATGAGCTGTAGTTTTCTGACCCCCACATGATCCTGTGTGTGTAATTTTTATCTGTCTACCCAGGCACACGCACACGTGTGCACCTGCACTTCCTCAATGAAAATTATCTGGAAGTATATAACTCCACTTCTAATGAATATTACTCAGTAATTTGTGGCCATCCTGAGTTTTAAAGACAGACTGTTTGATTTTATAAGCCCACCTCTATCACTTATTAGCTACAGGATTTTGGACAAATTACTTAACCCCGTGGATGCCTCAGTTTATCTTTAAAAGATGCCTCTGGGTTCTGAGGATTAAAAGAGCTAATGAAGTAAAACATTTACAAATGTGCCGTGTGCATAATAGCTATAAAAGGGAATGGGACACACCCTCACTTTTTTAGATTTTAAATTATTATTGAAATATATTTCTTAAGTCATATACTGCACCATTTAAAAATATACAATTTACTGGTTTTTAGTATGTTCACGATGTTGTGCAATGATCCCCACTGTCTAATTCCAGACAATTTTTTATCACCTCAACAAGAAATCCCATATCTCTTAGGAGTCACTTCCAGTTTCCTTCTACCCACCCATATGGCCCGGCAACCACTAATCTACTTTTTTTCTTTGGACGGTTGATAGAGTCATACAATATGTGGCCTTCTGGGTCTTCCTTCTGTCACTTAGCCCGTGTTTTTAAGATTCATCCATGTAGCATGTATCAGAACTTTACTCCTTTTTAGGGGTGCATACTATGCCATTGTATGGATATATATACACCACATTTCATTTATCTATTTATGAATTGGTTTATTTCTATTTTTGGCTAATAAGAATAGTACTACAGTGAACCCGCATGTTCAAGTTTTGTTTTCAATTCTCTTGGGTAT